GTTATCAACGACACTTTATCACAGGTACAGAAGGATAGGAAAAAATGTGGTACATAGAGGGTTAGGAACTATCCTCGGTTTCAAGCATCCACTGGGGGTTTGGGAGTGTGTCCTTCCTAAATAAAGGGGAAGCTAGCGTATTAGCAGTACTTCAGACACTAGTACTGTATTAACTCTTGTTTGCTAAAGAGTGGATTAAAAAAACAGGGATTCTGCTAACAAGCTTTCTCAAGATAGGAAGCTTTTAATAGAGCAATTGGTAACTGACTAGTTAGTGGAAAAAAACGTTTTTAGAAACACAGTGCTTCACTCTAAATCAGGAGAATCAACTGATACATCACACAACCATTCACGTTTCTTGTCCACCAGACACTTCAGGGAAGACAGTATCTGATTTCTCCCTCCAGTAACTGCAAATTAAAACTGTGGCACAATTTCATATGACCCTTTGGCATAACGCAGACTAAAATGTAAAAATATATGAATTATAATTCCCATAAAAATAAGAATAAATTTTTTAAATTCTAACACCATAAAGGTCTTGTTTTTAGGGTGTAAGTTACCCAAACCACTGTGAGAGAGGGATTTAGAAACCTATAAAACACCACTAGTCACACAGCAACAATTTATCAGCTTAACCCAAAATTATACTTTGCCAACTTAACAGGAATGTAGCTATAGGTAGATAAATTTTGGAGAAATGAGGGGCTAGGGGAGGGGGAGTATGGAAAAGCCAAAATAAGTCACACACTGCCTGAACTGGATTTGGTGCCTAGTAACCCCTTTTGTTGATTTGCTTTCTTTTTTTTAATTTATTTTTGGAGAGGGAAGGGAGGGAGAGAAACATCAATGTGCGGTTGCTGGGAGCTGTGGCCTGCAACCCAGGCATGTGCCCTGACTGGGAATCGAACCTGCGATGCTTTGGTTCGCAGCCCGTGCTCAATTCGCTGAACTACGCCAGCCAGGATGATTTGCTTTCTTTTTAAATTTTTATTTTGCTATTGTTGTTCAAGTACAGTTGTCTCCATTCCCCCCACACCACCTTCCCCTGCCCTACCTACCCTCACCGCCCACCCTCGATCCTTTCCTCCTCTGGCTTCGTCCATGGGCCCTTTATACATGTTCCTGAAAACCCTTCCCCTTCTTTCCCCCCATTATCCCCCCTCCCCTCTGGTCACTGTCAGTTTGTCCTTAATTTCCATGTCTCCGGTTATATTTTATCGCTTGCTTGTTTTGTTGATTAGGTTCCACTTATACGTGCGATCATATGGTATTTGTCTTTCACCACCTGGCTTACTTAGCATAATGCTCTCCAGCTCCATCCACGCTGGTTTTGCTTTTTATAAGGCAATTGTTGTAAGTGACCCATTCATTGTATCAATTTTTAACAATGCAGGAAGGTGTTGAAGGATGGAATCCTCAAGGTCACATTACCCCTCCTAATTCTATCCCCAAGAACTACCTGTCATGGCTTATACTTTGGAGTGTTTACTTCAGTTGGTATCCTTTTACATTGATCTGAAAACACAGAATTTTGTCTTGAAAAGACTCCTGCATTTACGTAGCTGCCTACATTCTGCGGAGAAAATTCGCGCCATGCCTGTTTTTCATCCTTTAATCACGTGTAAGAAGCCCGAAGCCATGACAGTCAGTAAGAAGCTGAAGTTGAGTGTGGCTCGCATGCTCTCCCCTTGGCAGGGTACTCAGTCGGAGGCCTGAGTAGTCTGAGTGTGACTAAAACACGTGGGCGCTCAGTTAAATAGCAGCAAAAACATGACTGGGTAATTCAACTGCTTGAGCAATAGCCTATGATTAAACATTTGCCTCTGTTTTAATAAAACAACCAGGGCAAGAATGGTGGTAAAGCAACTAAGAGGATGACTCGAGAGAGAGCTTGTTAGGGCGGCTGGGAAAAGAGCGCATTAAAATGGAGTGAAAGCTCTCTGAGTCAATGGGAAACACAGACATGGAAGATAAAACAACACTTTGTTAGCGACACGTAATTATAATTTCGGGTGCTTGTAGAAGCAGCTCTCAACATATGAAGCAATAATATGTAATCTAATTGAATTTGGTATTGTATGCCTCCTTTACTCTTTATTGGATAATTAACTGACTGCTTGTATTTCGGCACCCAAAGAAACATCTGAGTTTTCAATGAAAACATTGCAAAAGTTCACTGAACTTCTGACAGGCTAAGAGTATACAAACCAAAAAGAACCAGTTTACAGGAATTACAATTCATTATTCTAGTATGATTTATAAGGTACAAACTAATTTCATTTGATTCAACTTCACTGGGATCAGTGTGTCTTTTATTCTTGATACCTAATGGGTTTTGCACATGGTCCTAACTTTATGTTGTGCAAAATATGCCAATGCAAAAACGTTACAAAATTTCCAAACAACATGCATGTCATAAGACAAACTTATTTATAGACTTAAAAATGTATAGTCCCCAAATAGCCAAAAAAATAACATTTGTATATGTGTGTGGGAGAGAGCGCTTGCAGTGTCTCTTGTGACTATTAAATTCCTCTCTCGTTTTCCTGGGAGGAAGCTAATGGGGACTGGCACCCGTTCACCATCATTGCAAATGTAATGCGGACTCCTGGTCATGTTTAAATAAAATAATCATCTCTAAACAATGTAAAAATGAGAACTTGATACAAGTCTCCAGTACCTTAAAAATAGACGACAATCCAATTACCACTGAAACACAACAGATTCCCTCTGTATAAATCTGGAGTCAGGAAATTCACTCAGTGATTCCCAAGGACTTCAAAACCACATGCTACGTGTGGGAGAAGAGACACAGACCAACATGAAGACACTGAAATAAAGACAACCCAAAGCAAACACCTGCATGCAGGAGTCACAGCTTTTAGTAACACAGGCGTATCTTTTCAAAGTACCGGAGAGACTGCATTTTCTCCCTTTTCATAACAGCACTGGTGGTAAGGCTATGTGTCATTTTCTCTTCCTTTCTTTTTTCTCCAGGTAACAGTAACCGAGTTCTGTGGCTGGTCTTAGAAGTCACCGAGATGATATTCACAGATGAACTGCAAATGAAAAGATGGTGAGAAAGAACAGATTTTTAAATTAAAATGCCACCCTGTCTGGTGTGGTTCAGTGGATGGAGCAGCGGCCTGCAAACCAAAGGGTCGCGGGTTCAATTCCCAGTCGGGGCACGTGCCCGGGTTGCGGGCCAGGTCCCCAGTAGGGGGTGTGCGAGAGGCAGTAACACACTGATGTTTCTCCCCCGTCTCTAAAAACAAATAAACAAAACTAAAAGAAAATTATAGTTTAAAAAATATAGTACCTATTACAAATGTATCGTTTTCAAATACATTCTAAATAAACCGACTGGCACACAAAATTGCCCTAAAGGAAGGTAAAATTTCAGCTGTGCCAAACTACTTTTCCTTACCACTGCTTAAACTTTTATTATTTTAATGCAAAAATCCTGAATTTTTCAGTACTTTTGGTGGTGTATTTTTTTAAAGCAAACAGAGTTTTCCCTTTTTTTTCAGTGATTTTTCTAATCAATGTCATGATGGGTGCCTACAAGTACAGTAACTTGTTCCTAGATTTAACATGTGTTCACTGAAATCTGAGGAATTAGAAGTAACATATATATCAATAAAATGAAAAGACAACCCACTGAACTGGAAAACATATTCGCCAATGACAGATGTCATAAGAAGTTAATATTCAAAGTATATAAAGAATGTATACAATGTAATTACAAACAACCAAACAATGCAGTTAAAAAATGGGCAGAGGACCTGAACAGACATTTCTCCAAGGAGGACAGACAGAGGGCCCAGAGACACATGAAAGCATGCTCAGCACCACTAGCCACCAGAGAGATGCCAGTTAAAACCACAATGAAATAGCACGTCACACCAGTCAGAATGGCCATCATAAACAAAGCAACAAACAAGTGCTGGAGAGGTTGTGGAGAAAAGGGGACCCCAGTGCACTGTGGGTGGGACTGCAGACTGGTGCAGCCACTGTGGAAAACAGGATGGAGTTTCCTCAGAAAACCAAAAATGGAACTGCCTTTTGACCCAGTGATTCCACTGCTAGGAATACATCCTGGGAATCCTGAAACACTCATTGAGAATAATACGTGCACCCCTATGTTCATTGCAGTATATTTACAATAGCCAGGATATGGAAGCAGCCCAAGTGCCCATCCGTAGATGAGTGGGGAAAAAAAGCTGTGGTACATTTACACAATGGAATACTATGTGGCCATAAAAAAGAATGAAGTCTTACCTTTGATTACGGCATGGATGGACCTGGAGAGCATTATGCTCAGCGACAGCAGCCAGTCGGAGAAAGACAAGTACCATGTGATCTTACTCCTATGTGGAATCTAATGAACAAAATAAACTGACAAAACAGAAACACGGGCATGGACACACGGCACAGACTCACAGCCATTGGAGGGGAGGGTTGGGGACGGGATGAAGGGTCGTAAGCAAAGAAAACACTCACAGACAACAGCGGCGTGATCCCCAGGCAGAGAGGGGGTGGGGAGGGTGGAGGAGGCTAAAGCTGGGATCAATGGTGATGGAAGGCGACTTGACTTGGGGTGGCGAACACACAACACAGTGTACACATGATGTGTTGTGGAACTGTACCCCTGAAACCTATACAATTCTATTAGCCAATGTTACTCAAATATATTCCATGAAAAATGTGTAAGTAAATACTGATGAAAAAATGAAGCATCTTATAATCCAGATGAATATTTATGAAGCTGCTAATCACAAAATGCCCCCCCCCAAATAACTTTGCTAACAGAAACTAGTAACTTGCGAAATACATGAAAAGTTTATAAAAGTACTCTAGGTGGTACGAAGCCAGTAGTACATCTTTTCTTTCCCTTCTATGTAATTTGAAATACGTAGAGATTTGATTTTACCACAAAGTACTCTATTACCTCTCCGCAATCAAAAAGGCCTTTGCAACAGAGTGCTCTCTTGAGATTACCCTTTTGCGGAGAGGTTATTTTGCACCACGGTACAAAGCCTAGTTAGGGACCGTACCTCGCTGTCATTCTCTTTGAACAATAGTTCGGAGACTTCTAATAACTCGGGGGTTGCACCAAGCATTCCGGCGTTTAGCGGCCGTGCTTCATGTCAGCATGACTCTGGCGCTTCCGTTTTAATGAGTAAGACCACAGATCTTCACTGTTCCTTCATACGGGGTTTTCAGGAATTGCGTTTGAGCAGATCGGTTCTGCTTCAGCTGTTCTTCTCAAGAGATTTTCTCCCCGTTCTATGCCTGTAACTGGACTCATCTTCCTTGTAAGGGTATTATCTCAATGCTACACTGTGGTTAGAGTCCTAGAGAAAATATGTGCTTTCTATGACCTAACAGAAATTCATTCACAGGGTCTGGCAGAGTAAGGCCTGCTGGAGTGTGGTTGCTAGGGTAATCATATGGGTATAATAATTTCTAGTTTTAATGTGAACGTTTCCCCTAAAATGTCCTATGGTGTGCTGGAGTATGATATTGTTATGTTGCAGAATTACATGCTTATGATTTTGTCATAAAAGATTTTGTAGTAAAAAGGGGTGTTATTTGTGCAGGAACCTGTATAACAAATACACCTTTCGAAGGCTTGCGATGTCCAGATAATCGGAGGGCATTCGTAAAATTTGAGCTGCGCAAGGGGAATACCCCACCAAGGTGCACAGTAAGTCCAACTAAAGTATCGTCCTGAGTTCCTTAGAGATTTTTTTAATCACAGTAAATAACTGATGCCATAGCCACACATATTAAATAAATATCAACAAATAAAAAGATATTTGTAAAACAGTTACAGAAGGAAAACATTGCTTTATTGAGTTGTAAAGTATATGATTGTCTAACCACTATTGTACATCTGAAACTAATACAAAATAATATGGAATTAAAAAAAATGTTTACTTTTGATTAAACACAAAAGAAAAACTACAGCTCCCCAAGAAAGGCTTCCTAGAATCCTATTTAAATTAAAATGTCAGCTCACAGTCTGAGGTTTCTTAGGGATACGCTGGATATTGGTCCTTATGTTCTAATAAATGATGAACTATATTACAAAAAATAATTTTGCATTCAGAATCTTGTGAAACGTTGAACCTTTTGACAAAACTCACCGAAGTTTCATTTAGCAAGATGAGTACTGTGGTAATTACAGTCAACAATATTATATTGTATATTTGAAGTTTACTAAGAAAGTAGATGTTATATTGCCTTTTCAACATACAAAAGAAAGTGGTAACCATATGGAGGTGATGGATATATTAATTAGCTTGCTGTGGTTATCATTTCACAAGGTATAGGTATCAAAACATCAAGTTGCACACCTTAAATATATATACTGTTCATTTGGCAATTACAACTTATTAAAACTCTTATTTAAAACAAAACTTTTTGTGATTTGCTCTAACATTTATTGAGCTGTTTTTATGCAGCAGGCATGGCGCAAGGCTCTGAGCATAACAATGACTAAGAAAAGGACCTCAAGAAGCTTCCAGCCTAATGGTCAACTACTGAGTGAAGTGAGGCCCAGAGTGGTAAAGCACTTACACACTGAGGGAGAATTAACCAGGTGCTTGGAAACGGGGGTCTAGAGCTAGAGAGTGACCAGGGTATAACTAACACATCAAATGTAAACACCTCTGATTGAAGAACAAGGCTGCACACAAAAACGTAACAGAAAACCTACTGGCAAAAAGGTTAAGACAGTTTCTAATAGTCACCTTGAGTTAAGTCATGCTTTTCGATTGATTAAGCCATTGCATGACTGGAGGATCAGGGCATGACACTGGTTTGCTCAGACACAATAACTGTAGTAGCTTGCAATACAAGTCTAGTACTGGCAGTCATATTGAAATTCTTCAATTAAAACCATTAACCATGTACAGCATATTTATAATACATCATACAGAAGTTTGGGGAAAAAACTCTCCTCTAACTTTCATCACAGGATTGCATAGAAATTAGAGAATTTGTTACCTTCCACATATGCATTGTTTTGGCCGGGCAATGGTGAAAACTTGCACTTATTAACACATACTTAGGAAATAATGTCAACATTGTACACATGCATACAAAGATATCACATTGAGATGCGTGTACACACCCATTCAATATGCAGCAGTCCGTTGCGGCCACGAACCTGTGTAAGGCCATTTCTTCTGTTACAAGGCCACAGCCCTTGAAGGAAGGCGCAGTCCCAAAGAACTGTCCGATTTCAGGCCTGCCGGTGTGTTTTGCTAATACTCTTTGTGATAAAGTTAGTCCAGTCGGCAGGATGTCTATGTCACTAACCAAAAGCAGTAAATAATTCTAAAGAGTTGTTTTCGAACGTGGAAACCGTAACACACAGTAACATAACAGTAAACGGCGAACTACTGAAAAACACTACTGGCGTTAACGTCGCTACTGGGTGAAAAGGAAGAAACTTCAGAGAATCGAACTTGATCCACAGAACATCCATACGGGACGTTCCCAAAACAGCCCGCACACGAACTCTCAAACTCTAGGAGGTGCTCCCTTCCGGCACTTCTTCACTTTGCGGTGCAGGACTTTCCTTTTCATCCGGCTGTTCAGGAGGTTTGCTTGCAGATGCGGAGGCCGTTTCACCTCCGGACGCGTTGTTACTCGAAAGCTCCTGCTTTGGTTCGAACAAATAGACCTCAATGGGCCCTCTGGTGCTGTGTATCCGCATGGCGATGGCGTTTTCCCCGGGAGCTGGGATTTCCAGCATGGTTTGCGGTGGAGCTTTAATTGCCAAAGTCGTCTGTTTACGGTACGCTTCAACGCTCTGAACATCCTGGTATGTCACATATGCTAGCCGGTCATTGTCCTTGTCATCTGTTAACGCAAACAACTGCTGAGCACAATCCTTAATTAACTCATCCAGAGCACGTTCCTTTGCTGACAAGTCACTGATTTCCTCACGCAGCTGCTTCTGTGCGGGCGGCGGTTCGAAACTGCTGATATCAGGCCCTATCCATCGAATACGGCTCTTGGATACCTTTTCGACCATTTGGATGCCGTGCAAGACACTGGTGATATCGTACAACCTCCGTTTCGGGATTCCCAGCATGGGCACAATCTTCTTTAAGTGCAGCACACCGCCTGGACTGTTTTTGACGATTTCCATAAGTTTCCGAGTGATGACAAACAGGGAGGAGTCGAAACGGCATTTCTTCTCCTTGGGGAGGCTTGCCACCACGCTCACAACGTCTCCCCTCTTACCCTGGGAATCCTTTTGTTCTTCTGGCGGCGCGCAGGCACCCTCCGGGCGCGAGGTGCGCATCGGCTGCTCTGCTTTGCCCGCAGCCGGGCTAGACACCTTCCGCACAGGGCGTGGCCCACTCGTGCTGCCCGCCTGGTCGCCCATCGCCCTAGATGCGCGGCCCTCGCACCTCGGCCCTTGCAACCCGCGAGTTCTCTCACCTCCTCGGCGTCGCCTGGAAGCTGCCGCCACACACCAGTGCAGAGTCAAGCACGAACGGGGTTCGAGGCCAGCTCACGCACGCACCGAGCAATGCCTCCGAGTCTCCGACGAACGAGGAACGCACCCTCGCCCGCAGCCGCAGGAGGGATCACGCAGGTAAGAGGACAGCGCGGCACGACTCACGACCCTCAGGCCACCACCGTGCCCACCATCTTCCCGCATGCGCACTGAGTCTCCCGCGCACACATTGAATCTCCCGCGCGCGCGCGGTGCGTCGTCCACCTGCGCCCTGTGCCGGCCGCATGCGCACTGTGCCGGGGCCATGCGTACTGGGGCCACGGCGGCCGCACACATATTGCGTCGCCCGTGTGCGTGTGTGCGTATAGCACCTCCCGCGTGCACACTGGGCTGTCCGCATGCGCACTGAGCCTCCCGCCCGGGCACCGCGCTGCCCCCACTGCGCATGCCCACTGCCACCAGACCGCCTCATCCGCGAATCGCCCGTTTTCAAAATATGAGAGGAAAGGAACAAGGAGTGTGAGTACCCTGGGACACTAATAAATGAATGCCTCGTGGGATGAGAATACTTCTTTGGGGTTGGGTTGTTTTTTCATTAGGGATCCACTGCATCAACGAGCGGAACCCATGTCAACAGTTGTTACTCATGGTACTATGTAGTGATGAATTTTAAGGAAAAGGGTAAGGATGAAGAATGCTAAATATTATTTCAACAGGTATTTCCCAACAGTAAATATTACATGTACAGAAAATGAGTTAATATCCTGGAGTTCTGTTTTATTCTGTGTTTTTTTGATTAAAGGCATTTTTTCAAGTAAGTGATGATACCTCAGTATTAAGAACTATGTTGAATATAATGCTAGTCTATGATTACAGCATCTAAATTTAACTTTAACTTTTAATTACAAATCTAATTGTTAATATGGGAAACTGAAAGCATGTATAGAACATCTTCAACTTCTACTCCCTTGCTGTTTAGTGGCATTTCAAATCATTCTTTAATTAAATATGGTCAAACATGACCAACATTTAATCTTGTTTGAAAGCACTGAACAGTGTGACATTCTTCAAGGTCTCTCTTCGCAAATTCAAATTTTATCCATATGTGTACACACTATCCTTTATCCTCCCACCTTAGGCAAAACATCTGGTCTTCTCCCTAAAGCCACAAACTCCTTTTTCCTCCCTCACCTCAGCTTTTTCCTCATTTATTGTCAGTCTCTCACTTGACATTAGTTTCCCTTCATTACAAAAACAAACGTGAGATGTCCCCATTCTCAAAACAAACAAACAAACAAACAAACAAACAGTTCCTAAATCCTGAAACCGCGTTCAAGGTGAAGTGCCTTTTTCAATTCCCTTTACCTCGAAATTCCTAAAACAATAGTGTATCTGTATTTGGAAAGCCTCATTGTTCAGATCATTGTGTGAATACCTCCCGTGCCACCCTGAGTGTGCTCTGTCGCTCGGAGGTCAGTAGCTGCATGAAACACAATGGCCGTTTCCTGCTCTTCGTCCTGTTTCTCTTTCATATTTGCCTCATTACCTTACTCGACTGCTTCCTGGCTGCCACGCTTCTGTACCTTCTCCCAGCTTTCCTCTTCCCCCACTCTGCCTGCTCCTGCCCCTGCCACTGACTCCTCCTGGGAAAGTATGAGGTTCGCTGGGAATTTTCTCTCCCTGAGCTCTCTTCTCTGTCCAAACCAAAGATAGGAAGTGACAGTCTGTGTCACAAGTACCATTTACAGAGATGATTTGTTTGCTCAGCATTCCGACGGAACATGTGTTCTCTAGTTCAAGATGACGTTATAACTGCTTTGTTCTCCACCTCTATTTTTATAAGTCTGTCTCAAATACTTTGTCTTTAACATTTGCATTCTTACATGCTCTCTTGAGTTCGAAGTCTACCTTTTTAAATCAGTTTCTCATGACCATTTTCATATCCCTTTAGCATCTTAAATTCTATTCCTAGACATCAGCTTAGCCTCTTCCCACTCAAACTGGTTTTTTTTTTTATTTATTTAGGCCGATAGTGCCAATATCTAGCTATTTTATATCTTTCCATCGATTTGGGCTTGACAGTTTAGTGTCATCTTTGATTCCCTTCTTGCTACACAAAACCAACTGTTTTCAAGTCCTGATGATTCTAGTTCCATAATATATTTTGCATTGATCCCTCTACCTCATTCCCAGCACAAGGTTAAGTTCTCACTGCTCCATCTGTTGATTCCTGTAGTAGCGTCCTTATTAATTAAAGAGTGTCATATGGAAGACATTGGAAGGAGTATCAAGTTTAACCCAGGATAAATAATATTGGGCTGCCTAGAAAGCTATCTTTAAGTATCTGAAAAGCTGTCACGGAGAAAAGGGATTAGAATTATCCTGAGTAGTGTTCAAGAAAGCCAGGACCGCAGTCGGCACAGCATGTGTGCAAGGGTTTGGGGGTTAGTGTAAAGAAACTTATTTTCTCATATTTATTTAAGAAAGTAAATTCATGCACTGCTCCAGGTATCTGAGCCCAGGCTGGAAGACACCAAGTCAGAGATATTATAGCAAGTGCCCACTTTCCAGCGAACTCTCCTGTGGGTCTGGGAGTTTCTTTTCTTTTTTTTTAAGGTTTTATTCATTTACTTTTAGAGAGGGAAGGGAGGGAGATAGAGAGAGAGAGAAACATTAATGTGCGGTTGCTGGGGGTCATGGCCTGCAACTCAGGCATGTGCCCTGACTGGGAATTGAACCTGCGATGCTTTGGCTCGCAGCCTGAGCTCAATCCACTGAGCTACGCCAGCCAGGGCTTAACCTCAGGATTTTGAGTCTTTAGTTTCCTGTTCAGCCAGAGCTGCCTTGCTCATGCGGTCGGCAGCCTGGCCACACCACGAGTCTTCTCTGCTCGGCTGCCTGTCCCCCGACTCTGTGCCTCCTAACTGTCTGGGTGAATGTTTCTTTAACTCCTTGGTTGTCAGCATTCCATGCAGTTGGATTTTCTGGCACTTCTGGTTGTTTACTGTTTTTAGATTGGTTGTTATCCTTCTTGATGTTTTGTAAGGAAGCCAAGTGTTTCTACCTACACCTCCATCTTGGCCACAACTCCTCTAGAACTATCCTAATAATGTTGGTGTTGCCAGCTAGGGCAGGATTTAAAAAGTTGATTTCATTATTGGGAGTTTTTGAAAAGTGATTTCACAATAGCTAAAAGGGTTGCTTTTACCTTAATACTTACTTCTTGCTATGCCGCGCTCTTTATGAGTCTTAAGTTTAAAACTATGAGTAGAAATAGGATAAAATTCATATCCTCAGCATGTTGCGCATTTGAAGACTAATTGTCACGGCACAGCCATCTGCTCCCGTAATGAAGCACAACAGTCCAGCAGTTGACCAGCTGTTGCCATTATGCAGTGCATTCAAGAGTCCAATAGACTGACATCGAAATGGGAATGACAGTGGAGACAGCTGTAGGTACAATCCAATAGGGAGTAGGAAAGACACTCATGCTGGTAGTTCCCAACTCCTCGGGTAGCAATATAAAGTGTGTCCTTTGCCTACATACTGAATTAGCCTATGCTGCACGTTTATATTAGAATGCTTCTTATTTTCTTTGTTTTTTTAAAGATTTATTTATTTTTAGGGAGGGAAGGAAGGGAGAAAGAGAGAGAGAGAAACATCCATGTGCGGTTGCTGGGGGCCGTGGCCTGCAACCCAGGCATGTGGCCTGACTGGGAATCGAACCTGCCATGCTTTGGTTCACAGCCCGTGCTCAATCCACTGAGCTATGCCAGCCAGGGCTAGAATGCTTCTTATTTTCTTCATTAATTTTTTGCATAAATTCAAAATCACATCCAGTGGACTTTTCCATTTTCCTGGACTGGCTACCATGAGTACGTGCAGCTGAGAGCGGACAAAGTGAACCCGCCAGAAACTCTATTTCTCTGTGTTTTCCAGGAACCTCCGTGGGCCCACAGCAGTGTCTTATTTTTATGTCACATGCCTGTGGTTGTAGGAAGCCGACTTCTGCTACTGGCTTACCAGTAACTAACTGGTTTTGGGGAAACAGCCCACTCGCTGGAATGGCCCAGACTGCCACCATACCCTTGCTACCATACCCAGCAAGGTCAACAGTGCTTTCACTACGCACCAGCTAAGATCAGACACAAGCCTGGTGAGCACTGAATGTGGAATGAATTGCAGGTGATGCACGAAAACCCTTGAAGAGCTGAAACTGTCTCTTCCCAGGGTCTAGTACAGAGGCTTTCACATAATAGACATTCCGCAAATGTTCCGTTAATCAATGTACACAAATTAGCCACAAGTGCAACAACACGGACACACGCTAAAGGCAGCTGGGGTTCAGATATGATAGAGGACACAGGGGAAGAGGTACCAAGGGCAGACTTCCCTGAGGTGGTGAGTGGGGCCTTGGAGGCTCTGTAAAGTTGAATACAAAGAGGGAGTAGGGGACTTCAAGGTCAGGGAGAACGTTGGCACTTCAAAGCTCTAAGTATATTCAAGGGACAGTGAGTAGTAAGCCGGTTTAATTAGAGTGGCAGTCTCAGGTATGGGATTTGTAAGAAAAAGGCTGGAAAAGAAGAGAGGAATAAATTTCGGAGATCTCTAAATGTCAGCCAAGCAGTACATTTATCTTACAGGAGATGTTACAGTTTTTCGAGCAGACGAGAGCCACGATGCAAGCAATATACAGCACAGATTGTTACTAGTGAAAGATTTGCAGC